CTAACTGCTGGACATATCAAACTATATGTCCTACAGACACCGCAAACTGAATTAGTCCAAAGTAGAACTCATTTGTCTGTTCTCTCAAACTCTCCCATCTTAGGTACCCTCACTTTCCCTATCACCCATACAGCCACAATGTCATCCTTCACTCTTCACTTTCACTCACATCCACTCCACATATTCACTCTGTTGCCAACTCGTTATTTCTGCCCTCCCAAAATCTCTTTTATAAGTGTCCTGTCCATTCACACAGACACCATCCTGGCCTGAAGCTCGAATCATCTCACACCTAAGATATAGCAAATAGCCTGCTTGACCTCTCTGCCTCAAGTCTTTCCCCATTCCAGTCAATCCTCCATTTGACTGACAAAATGATCTTCCTAAAATGCAGGTATGACCCCCCCCCCATTCAGTAAACTCCAGTGGTTGCCTCTTACCTCCAGGCTCAAGCATAAAAAAATCTTTTTGACTTTTAAAGCCTTTCACCAACTGGCCCCTTCCTATCGTTCTGGCCTTCTTACACATCAGACTCCCTTCCTATAATTCAGCAATACTGGATCTCTTACTATTCTTCATAGGTAGCACTCCATCTCCTGACTCCTTATCTTTCTACTGGCTACCTCCCCTGCCTGGAGCACTCTCCCTCCTCCCCCCAGCCTCCTGGCTTTCCCAGCTTCCTTCCAGACTAAGCTTAAATCATACCTTCTGCCTTTTCCAGTTCCCCACCCTCTCCCAGTTCTCCTGCCTTGTATTAGAGACGACTTTCAATTATCCTGTATACAGCTTGCATATCCATACCTGTTTGCGTGCTGTTTCCCCCATTAGAATGTAAACTTCTTAAGGACCAAGTTTTTGTCTTTCTTTCCATGCCCAGCACTTAGCTCAGTGTATGGCACAGAGTAAGGGCTTAATAAATGCTTGCTGGTCATGATGAATTAAAGTCAAAATCTAGGTTTCTGCTAGTGGCAGCTACAGAGACAGAGTGTGGTAACACCATAACGGTGGAGTTTCCAAGCCTCAAAGATAGCGCATGTCAGGCAGTGGTAGAACAAGGTTCTGGATCAAGCCAAAGAGCTATAGAGAAAGGGCCAAGAAGCAGTGAAGCCAAGAGCCACTGTGTGGAGAAGTAAATCTAAACTTTCCCTTTGCTGATGATACTGAAAGTTATACAGACTGTGCCGGTCTCTAAGGAAAGGGGGACAAAAGGCCACCACCCTGGTTATTTCCCCTCTTATAGGGGTCTTAACCACAGTGGCTCTATAAGTCTGGAGGCATTGGAACTTCAAGTTTGTTCCAGGGAGTGGGGAAAGAGGATGGAATATTTTACCTCAGGGTGGCACTATAAGTCGAAAGTATCTCTGTAGGCCCCCCAAGGGAAAGGAAATCTCACCAGAAATTAAAATTGCCATCTGTTTTCTACCATTGTAGTACTTCTGTAGAACCACTGCTTCCCATTATATAAAAATGAGACAACCTAGGCCAACAAACCTTGGCGCTAGTCAACATAATTCCAACCTTGTTGATAGCAAGGCTTGTATATATCAAAGGGCTACTCTGATAGCATATCAAGAGTTCATGGCTTGATAAACTGAAAGACCCAAGCTTCTGGGACAAGCACTTATAGTTTGACAAAAACTTCTGGGAAAACTAGAAAACAGTATGGCAGAAAGTAGGTATAGACCAACATCTGACACCATATCCCAAGATAAGGTCAAAACAGGTACATGATTTAGACATAAAAGCTGATACCACAAACAAATTAGGAGAGCAAGGAATCGTTTACCTATCAGATTTGGGAAGAAGGGAAGAATTTATGACCAAACAAGAAATAGAGAGTATTACAGGATATAATAAGGATAATTTTGATTACATTAAATTAAAGGTTTTGCACAAATAAAACCAATACAACCAAGATTAGAAGGAAAGCAGAAAGCTGGAAAAAAAATTTTTACAGCGATTATCTCTGATAAAGGCTTCATTTTTCAATTATGTAGAGAATTGAGTCAAATTTGTAAAACTACAAGTCATGCCCTAATTGATAAATGGTCAAAGGATTTAAACAGGCAGTTTTCAGAATAAATCAAAGCTACCTCTAGTCATCTGAAAAAAATGCCCTATATCACTATTGATTAGAGAAATGCAAATTAAAACAACTCTGAGGTACTACCTCACAGCTATCAAATTGATTAATAGGATAGAAAAGGAAAAAGACAAATGTTGGAGGGGATGTGAGAAAATTGATACAGTAAGGGGCAGTTAGGTGGCGCAGTGGATAGAGCTCTGGCCTTGGAGCTCAAATCCGGCCTCAGACACTTGACACTTACTAGCTGTATGACCCTGGGCAAGTCACTTAACCCCAATTGCCTCACTAAGAAAAAAAAAAGAAAAATTGATACAGTAATACTCTGTTGGTAGAGTTGGGAACTGATTCAACTATTCTGGAGAGCAATTTGGAACTATGGCCAAAGGGCTATAAAACCTAGCATACCCTTTAACCCAACAATATTGCTACTGGGTCTGTACCCCAAAGAGACTTAGCTATTCTTAGCCATAATGAAGCAAGATAATTTCAAAGAACTCATGATGAAAAATGCTATCCACCTCCAGAGAAAGAATTGATGAAGTCTGAATGTAGATCAAAGCATACTATTTTTCACTTTATTTTTTTCATGGTTTTTTTTAATCTGTCTTCTTTCATAACATGACTAATGTCATACTTTGCATGCTTGTACACTTAGAATCTGTATCAATTTGCTTACTGTATAAGGGAGGAGAGAGGGGAAAGAGGGAGGAAGGAATTTGGAACTAAAAATTTTTTTAAATGAATGTTCAAAATTGTTTTTACACGTAATTGGGGAAAAATTAAAAAAAAATTTTAAATGTGTGTTTTTAGCTGTTGGAGTACTACTTATCCCACAAAATGTCAACATCTGAAATATGAATCCACCAAGAAAGCCAAAGGCTGAAAACTCACTACAGTAACTGCGTGAAACTAAGGCCAATTGGTTGTACTCAAAAATATTTTTTGAATTAAATTGATTTTAGTCACACACAAACACTCAAAGACTTCACAGCTCATCCTCAACCAGAGGTACTTTGTTCTCATTCCCAGTGAGTTAGGATAACTAGTGTAAGATAGGTTGTGTCTTGATTTTCCTGTAATATGGAGTGATATATTAGCTAGGATCTAGTGCCCCCTCTTTCCTGCAAGGGAGATTGATTTCTTCCTTTGTGAAGAGCAGGAGGAGGGACCTCCATTATCTTCAAGAGGAGTATTTAGTGAGTGATGGGTATGTAGAGTATATGAAAAGGAATCGTATGAAATAAGTCCAAGAAAGTAGGGCGGACTCACATTGTGGAGGGCCTTACATGCATTTTATCCTAGCGGCAACAGAGAGTCACTGAAAAAATTGGGAAAACAAAGTGGTCAGAGCTGTGTTTTAGAAAGGGTTTGGTGGGCAGCAATGTAGAGGCTGGATTGGAAAGGGGAGAGACTCCTCAGTAGGGGAAGTCAATTAAGAAGTTATTACAATAGTCCATGCAAGAAGTGATGAGGTCCCGAACCAGGGCCTCATAAACATGGTAAATGTATAATAAAATTATATCATTTTTCAAATATATCACTTTTGCTAATCCAATGAACCCAGAAAATTTAAAATGGCTCATTCTTCACGTGAAGTACTCTGATAATTTGGGGAACCTCTCATCTTCCTGGCTAGTTTGCTCTCACCCAGATGGAACCTGGGAACACCAATGCATGGAATTCCCCCAAGGAATAGCCATCACCTCCCCTTAAAAGCACCCAGACACATAAAACCTCAAATATAAACTCAGATTTATTTATACAGTACTGTACACATAAAGTATCTGAGCTGATAGGAAGTCAAGGGAGTCTCTTTCTCATTTTTGGTGCCTCCTCCCCTCTTTCCTTATTGAAGAACCATTCAGGGCCTGTGATTCACAGAACTGCCAATATGACACTCTTCTATTAGAGGGGCAAGGTCAAGATTTCTGCAGAAATGGATAAGCCTTCAGGTTTCTGCTATGTATGATCCTCAGTTTTGTTTTATGCTGGTGGGTTCTCCTTCCACACTCTACAGAAAGTGTTCTCTTAGGATCATAGTATAATAGGTATTTCACAACTATTTCATGCTACTGGACAGAATAACTCCAGGGTCATTTTGCTTCCCCTATGCTCTTAACCCAATTCCCACAGACTTCTCCAGAAACAAAGGACCTCTTTGGGTGTCAGGATAACTGTCTTCTACCCATGCTATTCCACTAAGTTTCCATTTTCCATTTCTTTTAGGAGGTCCCTGGGAAAGATAAGGCTCACCATACGGGAAAATTGCATTTGTATGATTCTCCATTAAGATAAGAAAGAGAGGGCATCAAAAATTGGGAAGAAGCTCTTTTGCTTGATTTTCTATGGACTCAGGCATAAGTTAGGAACTTTTCCCCAGTTCCCAACCTGGGCGCTGCTCAGCAAAACCCTGTTAAATATTGGGATTTAAAGAATCTTCTCAGCTCCATATTTTTCTTTTCTATTTCCCAACTTCTTCCAAGAAAGCTGGGGCAGGCCATGCAGCTTAACCTATGGCTACTTTGTGAAAGCCTTAGAAGGCAGAACCCACCAAATCTATGTCACAGAAGCTAGTTGGGAGGGTGGAGGGAGAGGAAACAACCACTCATTGCCTTTTTTTTTTTAGAGGCAATCAGGGTTAAGTGACTTGCCCAGGGTCACATAAGCATCTGAGGTCCTCCTGGGCCAGCATTCTATCCGCTGTGCCACCTAGCTGCCTCTTCACTGTCTCTTATTAACTTCTCATTCATAGCCTTATGTGGAGGAGTGATTGTTCTTTAACATGGCCAAATTATCTTGGTTATTACATGACTTGTTCCCATAAAAGAAATTCAGTTCAGATGTAAGACATACAATAAGGAATATCATCCTACTATTTTATTCTCATAGGTACCCTTCAAAGAAAGATGGCTTATTTCACATTTTAAATGAAGTTTTTATTCCTTCCTTGTGAACCAAGGAACATTTCTTCCAAAATCAGTCATCATAACACACACACACACACACACACACACACACACACACAAACAATTCATACTGTTTTCCACATTTACTGCTGCTCCCCAGAACATAGCATTCAACTTTTAAAACTCTATCCAATGATCCATAAGGCCCTTTTGTCACTGTTTAATGCTTCCCTGATGAGAATCTTTCTCCTTTTTCAGTCCCCTGAAAAAGAATAAAAGCAGATTTAACCATAGTTCTAAAATTAGTCTGAAAATACAGTCTGAAAAGATCAGGTAAGATAGGGCTATTAGGGAAATTTGATGGCTTCACTGTAATGGAGGTCAATATTGTGACTGAGAGAGAAGAATTTCGTGTTCTCATTGCCTACCTTTTAACTTCATCACCATGAATACCAATTCAGGTTTTATTTTTTTCAATTGTGTCTATTCAATCAACAATATTACCGTCTCTTCTTTTATTTATTTTCCTTTCAACAAATGGAAATGATATTCTTTATATTTCTCCAAAGCTCGTAATGCAGTATTTTGAGAAAGCAGCAGAGTATATTAGACAGTGTTGCACTTGGGGAAGAACTAGGTTTAAATCTTACTTCAGATTTGCTTTGTGACCTTAAGCAAGTCTCTTAGTGGCCCAGGGGTGGGGAGCCACGAGGCTGCAGGTTCCCCACCCCTGTTAGCCTCTCTGAGCCTCAGTTTTTTTAATTGCAAAATAGGAATAATAATAGTACCTATCTTACAGGGTTGTTGTGAGGATCAAATGGGATGATGTATATTAAGTATTTTCTAAACCTTGAAGTGCTATGTATATGAACCATTATTACTTTACACGTGCCCAGTAAATACTTGGTGCCTGACTGAATGAATTCAATCTAACAAATCTTTTACTAAGCATATTTTATGTATAAGGTGCTGTGCTAGCTAATGGGTATACAAGGACAAACAAAGCAATACCTGGTCTTGGGGAACTTTACATTTCATTGGATGAATGGAAGGTGTGTTTTTAAATAGACAGTTTTAGAGGGCAGGTAGGTGGCACAGTGGATAAAGGGAGTCAGGGAGACTGATCTTTCTGAGTTCAAATCTGGCCTCAGATACTTACTAGCTGTGCGACCCTGGGTAAGTCACTTAACCCCGTTTGCCTCAGTTTCCTCATCTGCAAAATGAGCTAGAGAAGGAAATGGCAAGCCACTCCAGTATCTCTGCCAAGAAAACCCCAGATGGGGTCACAGAGAGTCAGACACAACTGAAAAAGACTAAACAACAGCAGAGTAGATTCCATTTAGTATTCAACATTCATTCAATCAATGTTCAACACTTATTAAGCATTTATTCTGTCCAAAGCACAATGCTAGGCACTGAGGGAGACACAAAGCTAAATAAGATGTGATCTTTTTATTTAAGGAATTTATAACCAAATAATGGAAATATTGCCACTTCACAGACAAATATAATGCAAAATAGATGGGATAAGAGAGATGTAAACAAAGGGAGACCTGTTCGAAGGCAGGAAAGACTGAGAAGATCAAGGCAGTCTTCATAGAGAAGATGCATTTTACCTGAGTCTTGAAGTGCTAGGCACTACACTAAGTGCTTTACAAATATACTCTTATTTGATCCTCACAACAATCCTGGGAAGTAGGTACTATAATTGACCCATTTTACAGGTAAGAAAACTGAGGCAGGTCAAATGACTTGCTCACGGTCATACAGTTAGTGTCTGAGGTCAGATCTGAATTCAGGTCTCCTTGATTCTAGGTCCAAAGCTCTATCCACTGCTCCACCTAGATTTCTAGTAAATGGGTAGGATTTAAATAGGTGGCAATGAATGGAACAGCATTCAAGGCTTAGGGAACAATGTGAGTAAAGACATGGAGGCAGGAAAACAATAGAGATGTTTCATAGATGTAGACATGAAAGGGAATGCAGAAGTCAAGCCTTGAGAGCGACATCACTTGCTTAAGGGATGGCAAGTAGTTCAGTTTGGTTGGAATGTATAACACACATGAAGGTGTATAGCATGAGATAAAACAGAAAGGGCAGGTTGGAGCCAGATTTTGAAGGGTTTTATTTAGTCAGCAACGAATAATCCTTCAAGGTTTCTAAAAAGTTCAGTAACATAATGAAAACTGTGAATCAGGAAGATTAATCTGGAGATAGCACATATGGTGCAATGGATAGGGAAGAGACAGGAGGGGGAAATCCTGGCTAAGTTCCTCCACTCACTTATGTGGCAAGGCAAAAAGGGAACAGAGAGGGACAGCCAAGGTTAGGCATATTAGTTTTGATTTTCATATGCCCTTACCAAGATTTTTTTCTAAAACAAAATAGCTGATACTTTTGTTTTCACCCACAATTTTGAAATATTTAAAATTTTGGAGAAGTATATGATTAGAAGTGATCAGCCACATCCAATAATGACACTTCTTTTTCATTTCATGATCCTTTAGAAGTCTTTAAATTTAATCTAGTTGTGATGGAATACTATTGTAGTACAAGAATGGTGAGCAGGATGCTCTCAGAAAAACCTGGAAAGACTTACATGCACTGATGCAAAGTGAAATGAGCAGAAGCAGGAGAACATTGCACACAGTAACAGCAATATTGTAAGATGATCGCCTATGAATGACTTAGCTATTCTCAGCAATACAATGGTCTAAGACAACTCTGAAGAATTTATGATGAAAAATGTTATCCACCTCCAGAGAAAGAACTGATGGAGTCTGAATACAGATTGAAGCATACCTTTTTTTTTACTTTTTTTATTTTTCTTGGGGTGTTTTTGGTCTATATTTTCTTTTACAACATGACTAATATGGAAATATGTTTTGTATGACTACACATGTATAACCTATATCAAATTGCTTGCTAGTCAATGGCAGGGGAAGGGAGGAGGTCCACTGGGAGGGAGATAATTTGGAACTCAAAATTTTAATAACAAATGTAAAAAAAATTTACATGTAATTGAGGAAAAATAAAATAGTAAATTTTAAAAATAAATCTAACCTAGGACTAGGACCAACAGTATTAGGCTAACAGGGGCCTTCCTTAATTACCCCTTCACTCATAGGACTTTTTCTGGCCTTATTTATCAACTTCCAGTAAGAATAGAAGTCAGAGATATGTAGTGGCAATGATCCACTCATCATCATTATTGATCAGAATGAGAGAGACAGAGACAGACAGATAGATAGACAGACAAGCAGACAGAGACACAGAGAGACAGAGGGACAGAGGCAGACACAGGGAAAAAGAGAGTGCTAAGTCCTGAAGAGACCAGGGAAAGGCATGTAGGATGTGGCACCTGAGCTATGCTTTGAGGGACCCAAGGGATTCCATGAAGTAGAGGTGAAGATAGAGCGTGTTCCTCTGCCCTCTAAATGTACCATGTCTTCTTCCTCTATGCTTTTGTTTAAGTTACTCCCTATGCTTAATAAATGCTTGCCGACTGATTAGTTGATGATTCTCTCACTCAACCAGTGCAGAACTACTTTTCCCCACTCCATTAGCATCTACAGAGGTTATTAAGACTATATGTTTAGTAACAACAATTAGGGATGAATTTTTCATGATAGAATTATTGCTTTTTATAAGGCAATCCCCAGTCATGATGAATAACTTTGGATAGATAATCACATAATGAAATTGTTTTAAGTTTTCATTGAGACTATATGTGTCTGGTTTTTAATTTTGAATGGCAAAGTAAGTTCATGTGAGGTACAACTGTTTGTTTTATGGAAAGTATTGAAACTAATTTATATACATACAAATCTATTATTGGAATAGGGTAGTGGAAGGTATCCAATCTCATTTAGTTTTATTCATATTTATGGCAACGGCCATATTATTGGTTTGTGTTAATATTAATAACTCACCCAACTTTGAACTTCATTCTAAGTGGCTAAGAGAGCTGAGTCAGACAGGAGTGGGACCTGGAATTGGCAAGGTGTTTCTTAGAGATGTCCCTGCGAGTGACTAAAATAATAAAGCTCTTTCAGCCAGAAATCTCTCCATCATGTCATTACACACTCTTGCCACTAAGGGATGCTCTTTCCAGCGAGAAGTTCCCAGGAGACCAAAGGGCAAAGACGCAGCGGAAATATACAAGCAACGGAGATAAACTTACCTCCAACTTAAAAGGGAAGCAAAAGACAAAGCTGTTAGAGCATTCTGAATACCCGAGTCTCTGTAAGCAGCTGGGGTCCGCACCAAGTTTTTTTGAAGGTCAGTTTGCAATATGGTAACTTCTGGCTTTACTGTCAGTTTCTCTAAAAGCAGCCTCTGAAAATAAAGAGGGAAAGAAGGTTTTTTTAAAGACCCATTAGTGTGCCCCCTCCCCCACAGTCCCATTAGTGGGCCTTATTAAAACAACACAGACAAAGAGCAAAGATGTCCTAGTTAATGGAGAGCCTTCGATAATTACTCTGCTCGGGCCGCTTCTTTTCGGATCTGAATGGCCTTTGAATAATGTTTCTCTTGCTGTGGTTGCAGACAATGCCCTCGCAGACTGCTTTAAACGGTGCCAATCCCATTAGCAGAAGAATAGCCAGGCTCTGTGTGTATGTGTGTGTTTTGGGTGAGGATGGTGGCTTCCAGTGGGAACTAGATTTCAGTGCTATCTCCTTCTTTGGTTCCCCTCTCTTGCTACACAAATTGCTTCCCAGAATCAAAAGTAACTATTTCCCTTGAAGGAAATACTTGGATGAAAATGTGTTCTTTGTAGAAAGGGTCTCACTGCTTACTAAGGGTCTGACTTGAGAAAGACATTTTGCCTTTTCAAATGGCATTTATTAAGGATCTAACTGCAAAAGATTCTGTGTGCAGTATGGTACATAGAGAACCTGGCCAAGAGCCTCATTAACTGGGGAGAAATCTCCCCTATTGCTACAAAAGGAATTTAAACACACTTTCCCTACCACAACCACTAGCATGCTTGTGGTCTAGGGACAACACTTATCAGAACAAACAGGAGGAATACACAAAATGGAGCAAATTGTCAGCTTCACAAAGAAGAAAATTGTAAATGGCTCAAGAAAGGCAAAAGAATAATGAAGTAAAGAAAGTGCTGAAATGGGGAAATACAGAGATCCTTTGGGTGTTTTTCTCAAGGCCTCCCAATCCAAATGCTAACAATGCTTTTTTTTCTCATTCTTGACATGCAAGGGTATATTTAAAGATGACTCACCCCACATATCCATGCTGTGGTCTAGCCTTGTTGTTTCTATCTTTACAACATTTTTTTTACATGTCCCCTTCTCTCTTCTGACACTTCTGCCACCCTAGTGCAGGCTCTCATGCCTAGACAATGGCAAGAGCCTTCTGGTTGGTCTCTCCACCTAAAGTCTCTCCTCCCTCAGTCCACTCCATTGCCAAAGTGATCTTTCTAAAGGACAGGTCACTGTCCATGTCACTCTCCTACATAGTAAACCTCAGTGGTTCCCTATTACCTCCAAAATCAATATCAAATCTTCTATTTGGTTTTCAAAGCCTTTCACAACTTGGCTTCTTACTATTTTTTCATTTTTCCTTAACTTCCATACTATGCAGTTATACACTCTCTGATCCATCTACATTGGCCTTCTTGCAGTTTCCTACACATGACCCTTCATCCCCTGATTTCATGCCTTTGCACTGGCTGCTCCCCATGCCTGGAAGCCTCCTGTCTTTCTCGGCTTCCTTCAAAAGTTAGCTCAAATCCTACAGTTTGCAAAAGAACTCCCTTCCCTTACCAGTGCCTTCCTCTGATATGATCTCTAATTTACCCTTTTACCTATAACCTGTATGAATTTAGCTATTTGTGGCTTTTCTCTCTCATTGGAATGAGGGTAGAGACAACTTTATCCTTTCTTTGTATCATTAGCATTTAGCACAGTGCCTGAACATAGCAAGAGTTTAATAAAGGCAGTTGGCACAAATTGACTTGATTCCTCAAACAACTTACATAACAAAAATCATAGCAAGGCTAAGATTACTTATCTCCATTTATTTGTTAAAGATTAAATTTTTCAGCAAAGATGTTAAAAAATAGACTTTAAAGTGGGTGACAATAAGCAGTGGCAGCAGTGGAACTCTCAGCCTACAGATAATAAGAGGGTCAGACAACTGGTCAGACGGAAATTACATAGCTATACGTAAAACAAAATCAAAAGAATGAAAAAATAGAAGAAAATGTAAAATGTCTCTTTGAGGAAACAACTGGCCTGAAAAATAGATTGAGGAGAGATAATTTTTAAATTATTGGACTACCTGAAAACCATGATTAAAAAAGAGCCTAGACATCTTCTTTCAAGAAATTATCAAGGAAAACTTCCTTGATATTCTAAAACCAGAGGAAAAGATAGAAATTGAAAGAATCTACCAGGGCAGCTAGGTGGCACAGTGGATAGAGCTCTGGCCCTGGAGTCAGGAGGACTTGAGTTCAAATCTGGGCTCAGACACTTGACACTTACTAGCTGTGTGATCCTGGGCAAATCACTTAATCCAATTGCCTCACAAAAAAAAAAAGAAAGAAAGAATCTACCAATCACTTCCTGAAAGAGATCCCAAAATGAAAACTCCCAGGAATATTATATGCAAATTCTGGAGCTTCCAAGTCAAGAAGAAACTATTGAAGGCAGCCAGAAACAATTCAAATATCATAGAGCCACAGTCAGGATGAGACAAGATTTAGCAGCTTCTACATTAAAGGACTGGAGGTCCTAGAATATGATATTCTAGAGGACAAAGATGCTAGAAGTACAACCAAGAATCATCTACCCAGCAAAATAAATGGATACTAAATGAAACAGAAGACTTTCAACAATTCTTACTGAAATAACAAGAGCTGAATAGAAAATTTGACTTTCAAATACAAGACCCAAAAGAAGAATAAAAAGGTAAATAGGAAAGAGAAATCATGAGGAATTCAATAAGGTTAAACTGTTTACATTCCCACATGGGAAGATGACACTTTTAACTCCTAAGAACTTTATCATTATTAGGGTAGTTAGAAGGAATATACATAGATAGAAGGCATACATGTGAGTTGAATATGATGGAATGATTATCTAAAAACAAAGTAAAATTAAGGGGTGAGAAAGGGGAATGCACTGGGAGAAGGGGAAAAGGAGAGGTAGAACTGGGGATATAACCTCACATACAAGAGGCACAAAAGAGCTTTTACAGAGATGGAGAAGATGGGAGAGGTGGGGGGCACATGAACCTTACTTTCATCAGAAAAGAGGAAATAACAAATACACTTAGTTGGGTATAGAACTCTATCTTATCCTACAGGAAAATAGGAGGAGAAAGGGATAAAAGAAGGTGGGAGAGACTAATAAAAGGGAGGGCATATTAAGGGAGCCTGGTGGTGAGAAGCAAAATACTTTTGAAGATGGATAGGGTGAAAGGACAGAGAGAGAGTAGGATACTCAGGAGGGGAAGGAATGGGATGGAGAGAAATACAGTTAGTTATCATAACTGTGAAAAAAATTTACAGCAAGTTTCTCTGATAAAGGTCTCATTTCTCAAATATATAGAGAACTGAGTCAAATTTATAATAATATATGATATTACCCAATTGATAAATAGTCAAAGGTTATGAAAACGCTGTTTTCAGACAAAGTAATCAAAGTTATCTATTCTCAGGTGAAAAATGCTCTAAATCACTATGGATTAGAGAAATCTAAATTGAAATAACTCTGAGGTACCATCCCACACTTATCAGATTGGCTAATATGACAGAAAAGGAAAATGACAAATGTTGGAGGGAATGTGGGAAAATTGGTACAGTAATACACTGTCGGTAGAGTTGGGAACTGATTCAACCATTCTGGAGAAAAATTTGGAACTATGTTCAAATGGCTATAAAACCATGCATACTCTTTGACTCAGCAACATCACTATTAGGTTTGTATCCCAAGGAGATTAAAAAAGAAAAGAAAAGGGATCTATATGTACAAAAATATTTATAGTAACTCTTTCTGTGGTGGCAAAGAATTGGAAATTGAGGGGATGCCCATCAATTGGGGAATGGCTGAACAAGTTGTGGTATATGAATGTAATGGAATACTATTGTGCTATAAGAAATGACAAGCAGGATGCTCTCAGGAAAACCTGGAAAGGCTTACATCAACTGATGCAAAGTGAAATGAGCAGCACCAGGAGAACATTGTACACAGTAACAGCAATATTGTACAGTGATCAACTGTGAAAGACTTAACTATTCTTAGCAATACAATGATCCAAGAAAGGGGTGGGGAACCTGTGGCTTCAAGGCTACATGTGGCCCTCTAGGTCCTCAAGTGCAGCCCTTCGACTAAGTCCAAACTTCACAAAACAAATCTCCTTAATAAAAAGATTTGTTCTGTAAAACTTGGACTCAGTCAAAAGGTCACACCCAAGGACCAAGAAGGCCACATGTGGCCTCGAGACTGCAGGTTCCCCACCTCTGATCTAAGACAATTCCAAAAGACTTATGATGAAAAATGCTATTCATCTTCAGAGAAAAAAACTGATGGAGACTGAATGTAGATTGAAGCATACTTTCTTAAACTTTCTTTTTCTTGTTTGTTTGTTTGGTCTGTATTTTCTTTTACAACATGGCTAATATAGAAATATACTTTGCATGACTACACACGTATAACATATCAAATTGCTTGCCTTGTCAATGAAGAAGGAGAATGAGGGAGGGAGAGAATTTGGAACTCAAAATTTTACAAAACTAATGTTAAAAATTGCTTTTATATATAATTGGGGGAAAATATTAAATAAAAATAGAAAGAAAAAATGAGCTTTACATATCTTAAATCCTATAGAGCGTTGGAATGAAATTCTGGGCACACCGTTAGATATTGCAGTAGATCTGAGACCTCTCCCAGGTGCCTAAGGGCCTTATAAGTATGGTCATTTATGAGCTAACTCTTTATGTATACGGTACACATGAGAAAAATAGATGCCTTCCCTCTGAGATTACCTTCTCTTTAACATATATATTTTACATTTGTATAGATGTGTGTGTGTGTATATATATATATATATATATATATATACACACATATATGTACATATATATCTTCTACATACAATTGTTTTCATGTCATCTGTCTCATTAGAATGTGAGCTCCTTGAAGGCAGGAACCACATTTTTTCCCTTTTATTGTATTCCAAGCACTTAGCACATTGACTGGCACATGGTTAAGTGCTTAATAAATGATTGTTGATAGAATGATTGACCAAAACCATCCAAATATATGCAACTGCAGTAAAGTGTGGCTATGTGTAAATCGGTCTCAACTAGTTGGAGGATTCCTTGGGGAGATTTCTACAGGGAACAATCAATACTGCAGCAAACAGACAGAATCCGCATTGGTGCAGTTTTCAAAAGCCATTTGGAGGATGACAATCACAGGAATGGAAGATAATGTCCTTGAGAAAGCTATGAGACCGGCTCCATCCTATTCTCTTTTCCTTCAGCTTTGATCTCACTTTCAATGTAATGAGAATACTGTACACTTTTATGCTTCACTTACTCTGTCGAATTTAATTTCATCATCCAATGCTATTTATTTTGAACCTACAATTATCAGAAAGATTTCAGTCTCCTGCAAATGTACCATTAATAGCTTGTCTGTTAGGTAATAACTTCCATTTAGGGACC